CCCCCCCCCCCCCCCAAAGGTCCTGTAATATAATATGTTATATGCTTGTGAATTATTTGATTCAATGTTTCTTAAAAGTAATTGCTTTACTGGCTGGTGATAAATTCAAACTTTGCAAGGGTCGTATAGAGAGGTTCGATTTGATTGGTGAGATTCTCAGATTTGAGAGAAATGTTCATTTCCATCCCCTTAGTAATACATATCTCAGGGTTATTCTTATTTCTCCAATCAGTTGAAAGTTTTTTTTAAAGGAATTTGAGGGACATAGAACTCTTAGAGTTTTCAGATTTGTTGTCTCGGATCAATACACTGTCAGATTTCTTGTAAATATGTTTTCCATCATTTGATGCTGAATAATGTTGATTTTAGCATATACAATGATTTGGAAGAATTTAACTTGAATGTGATGTTTTCGTTTGATGCTTGTAGGTCATTTGGATGGGCTTGATGTCCATTGTTCTTGTAACCTACTTTTCTTTTTTGGATAAATGTTTGTGTCTTATCAACAAAATTTGCGAGACTCATGTGTGCATTCTTTTTTTGGTCATGATCAAGAGCTGGGAAGATTATGAGCCTACAAAAGCAACTGTGAAAAGGTTGCTTTTGCAAGAAAGTGGCAAGGAAAGCACGAGTAGATCATCCTTTCCCGTTGATAAGCAACACTTTAGCCCTCACCTGCTGGATGGATCAGCTATTACTCGCCCAAGGGATCACATAAGCCCTGCAACCTTCTTGCATCCATCTGAAAACAAAGGTGAGCCAGAACCAGAAAGTTCTCTGATTTTGTTGTTATTAGAATACACCCACTGATTGTTGCTCTTGCATGCAAACATATTTTTAGCAGGCATTCAGGGTACGCATATGAAGCAGCCTTTTCAGAGCTCAGCAACTCCATTTGGTTGGGCTAATGAACTTCCAGGACCATTACAACCTACTGGGCTGACGTTTCCTATAATGCAAGAACACAAAATGTCATCAGCATCCCAATTGTTGCCTGCAGGTCGGCAAAGTTTTGCAAGGGAACCTAATATGACAGCAGAAAAATTTGGCAATGGCATTCCATATATTGAGAAGTCCGAGTCAGATTCAGTGAAAGAAAAGTCTGTCGTGCAATCAGACACTAGTCAGAAACCATCCGTTTCTTTGGTTCCTACACAGACACCGTCATTGCTGAAGAAACCAAATGATATGCTAAATTCATTTGCCAAAGGTACGCTTCCAAAACAAGAGAGTGTGAAGGACAGGCCGTTGACCGCAACAGTTCCATCTATTGAAGCTGGGAAAAAACTGAATTTTTCATTGTCTTCCTCACTTGCTGTTCCTGTGGCCATTAGCCAGCCTGGAAAGGTTGACCAGCGTGATGCTGCAACAAGCAAAAGCCAGCCTGGTAAAATTTTACCTTCTCCCACTTTCTCAATGTCAGTTTCGACACCCTTATCTCCAGTATTTAGTTCATCATCAGCACCTCTATCTCCGTTATCAATTTCACCATCAGTCGTGATGCCTTCAAACAGATCTTTGGATAGTTCTAACACTAATGCAGATGTGAGTAAGCCTGTATCAACATCGTCATTGTCATCTTTTCTCCCTCCAATTGTTTCTCCTCCTAGTTTTTTCTCTTTTGATGCTTCCAAACCACTGGTGTCCTCATCTGCCCCATCACCTGTGACAAATTCAACATCAGAGTCTACTAAAACAGAGATCCAACATTCTTTAAAAACAGACACGAATGCTAATACTATATTGCCACCTCAGGAATGTGGGCCTTCCACAGTTGAAACTAATTTGAAGATTAAACCTTCAGTATCATCTCCCCTCACAATTGAAACTTCAACAGGACTGGCATCTGGGAGCCAGGCCAGTTCGAACAATACTGCAGGTCCAACGAATAATGTGAGAATGAATGCCGAGCAAGAAAAGCCATCTGCCGGACATTCTCCATTCCCAACACTCCCAACTTCAGGGAGTGTTACTGGTGGAAGGACTGATGGGTTGGATGTACAAAATGCACAGGAGGATGACATGGATGAGGAGGCTCCAGACACAAGCAGCACAACTGAACTTAGTTTGGGAAGCCTTGGTGGGTTTGGGCTTGGCTCTGCCCCTAACCCAACAGCTCCTAAACCTAATCCATTTGGTGGATCATTTGGCAATGCAGGAACAAATGTGACTTCTTCTTTCTCCATGACTGTCCCTAGTGGTGAGCTGTTTCGGCCTGCATCTTTTAACATCCAATCTCTACAGCCTTCTCAATCATCTCAGCCAGCAAATTCCGGTGGGTTTGCTGGTGGCTTTGGCACTGGTACTACTGCCCAAGCTCCCAGTCCGAGTAAGTTTGGCCAACCAGTACAGGTTGGACCAGGGCAGCAAGCATTAGGGTCAGTTCTTGGTACTTTTGGACAGTCGAGACAGCTTGGTACTAGTCTACCAGGAACCAGTTTTGGATCACCCGGTGGTTTTGGTGGTGGCATTGCTGGAACTAATCCCACTGGTGGCTTCTCAAGTGCTGCTACTGGAGGGTTTGCTGGTGCTGCTACTGCGGGTGGCGGGTTTGCCAGTTTGGCTTCAGGTGGTGGTGGGTTTGCCAGTGCAGGTTCAGGCGGTGGTGGGTTTGCCGGTGCAGGTTCAGGTGGAGGGGGTTTCGTTGGTGCAGCTTCAGCTGGTAGTGGTTTTACAGGAGCTGCTTCTAGTGGTTTACTTCCTGTGGCTGGTAATCTTTTTTCTATTCTTTTTTTGATTGATGCTGATGTAAAATCCTTATCTTTTAGAAAGCTGTTGAGCTGACTTGTGTCATTGATAAATATGCTCAGGTGGTGGATTTGCGGCATTCGGTGGTCAACAAGGATCTGGTGGTTTCTCTGGTTTTGGTAGTGCAGGAGGAACTGGAAAGCCTCCGGAGTTGTTCACACAGATGAGGAAGTAACCATTAGAAAGTTCTGGACAAAATCTGAGACTGATGTATTTTGTTGATAAAAATTGAACTTGGTGAAGGGCTACATGTTGAAAATCATATGAACTTTAATTGAGAAACTTGTTTTGGGTTATGGGTTACGCCAGCTTCCCGTTGTATAGTTCGCATTTCCTTCTTATATTCTATTGCAATTTGCAACAATACCAATTATAAGTGGATACTGGGGCACTGCTGTTATTTCTAATGTTCAACACCTTCCCGTTGTATAGTTCGCATTTCCTTCTTATATTCTATTGCAATTTGCAACAATACCAATTATAAGTGGATACTGGGGCAATTTAAGTGGGCGGAATGCATCCACTGCTGTTATTTCTAATGTTCAACATTACATGGCATCTATGGTTATGCAATGGCCGTACGGTGCTCAACGTTATTTTCCTTTGTAAGGTTGATACTGTTCGTCAATTGAATTATAGCCTGTCATATCTATGCGACATAGAGTAGAATCTTTAATTATTTCCAACTGTCATACGATGATTAATTAAACCGAATAATCACTTAAAACCTTTCATAGCTTTTATATTGCAAAACATGTTCTTATTTCTCCCATATCGATTTTTTTTCTCTAACATCTCCAACTTCTGTCTTTCTCTGCAATTAAAACAAAATCATTAACGATAACAAAGGGAAGTCAGATAAGATATTCACAAATGAATTGAAGTGAAAATTGATTGTCACTCCTGGAGTTATTTTATTACAAACAGAACTACTGATTGCATGCTTACAAAGCAGAACTAATGGTTGCATGCCAATTGAGAATCAATAAAAAGAAAAAGGGGGTGTGTAAAGCACCACCCTATTTAGCAAACTTCCTGGCTCAATCGCCCTTCAATCTCTCCTAGCTGTTACACTGGAAGTCCTAGTTCCGAGATCTTCATTATCCGTTTGTCCAGCACAGACCTCTGCCTTTTCAAAACTGATGCCATTGAAGCAACCTAATATAAACATGAGGGGCAGAGTGAGAGAGAGACAGAGACGGTTTTACCATGATGTAAACAACATATTCAAACAAATGCACAAGGAATTAAAACAAAAAGTGTGAATGAAGGTGGTGTTTTGTTTGAACTTGCCTCTGCTCTAAGCTTCAAGGCCTCCCTATTAGGAATTTCTCGCAGCCCATCCATTAAATCTACACAAAAATGTAATACAAAATGGGGACATAATTCCAATCTGATATTCAATACACGTTTTCTCAATCCAAGTTCATCAAAAGTGCATGACATTGAGAACCAAGACCCAAGTCAAACATAAAAACTCCCAAGACCAAGTTAAAGCCTCTCCAATTAACTTTATAATAAAAAGAAAAGGGGAGAGAATTCATGAGCTCAAACCTGCAGCTTGGGATTCAACCTTGTGAACAGATTTAGATAGAGATTGAATTTGACTTCCCACATCCCTGCATAAATTACTTGGAGGTATCAAGACACAGACAGACAGGTAATGAAAATATAGGTAATCAATACAAGAGCAGTTAGATGAGAGGGTGGGTACATGAGATCAGTCTGGCCATATTTCATATCCTTTTCAGCAAGAAGTGCCCTTTCAAGAAGTTTCTTGCTCTCCTTCTTCATCAAATCAACTGAAAGATTTAGCTCCTTTACATTCTTCTCAGCTCTAACAAATTGTGCCTGCACATACATTAGTTGTAAATTGTAATTAATATCAGAAGAAAAAGAAACTAGAGGTAAAGGTTTTGAGTTTCGGGTGTGAGAGAGGGGACATATACATACCTCCTCGCTCTGAAGTCTACTAAATGTCTGGCGGATGAAGAACCTTCTTGGTCCTGCAACCAAGAGCCTAATATTTTTAGAATATATATGTGTGTACAGGCATAAAAATGAAAGTACGAACGATGCATGTGTTATGTGTTATGGGCTAAGCATAGGCTAGTGAAATCATGTGTAAGAAGCAAACAAACAAATAAATAAAAGAGTGAGTATTGAAGCAAAGTAAAAGGAAGACCTGGCAAAAGAAGGAAGGCAGCAGTAAGACCAATTCCAAGAGTTGAGGCTGGGTTCTCTCTTGCACTCATCAACCCTTCTGTATTCACAGCATGTTGTTCAATTCAGTTAAATTACAAAATAGAAAATTCACACACACACAAGCTCATGATTGATCAATTTGTGTATTTTCAATTCAATTAATGATTGTTTACTGATTACTAATTAGTGATTAGCCAGCCATTTTCGCTATGATATAAAAATAAATCTGAACCATTAACTAATTAAGAAATGAAAGAAGGAATGAAAGAATTTTGAGCCTACCTTTGATCTTGGTGAAGAAAGCATTTTCGTAGGTCCTGTAGTCGGAGACGGCTTTTTCGACATATTGGGGCAAGTGGTGTTGGAGAGAGCGAGCTGAACGAATGGCAGAGTCCGTGGATTGCATGACCGTACGCTGCAGATCCTCCGCCATCGATGCTGCCATTGCCACTGAAGAAGCTGATGCTGCTGCCTCTTGCCCATTCTTTTCATCATCATCACCCTTAAGACCAAAACACCCTTGAGGAAAAAGCACTCCAACTCTCTTCTTTTTCACAATATTTTCCCCAAGATGCGTATTAGTACTACTACTTCAAGAAAAACATCAACCCTAGCATCATCCCCAGCCTCTTCTTCACCATCTCTTTCTTCTTCTTCATCTTCGTCAGCATCCTCAACAACATATTATTCAGTCCCATCTTCCCCTATAACACCTTCGAAATTCCGGGAACGGGGTAGGTCGATGTCAAGCCCAAAGGTGCTGGTTGATTCAAGGAACATCCATTGCCATGATCGGTACGAAGACTATGGCTCAAGAGTTTCAACTAGGGCAGGTTGCTATTTAAACTTCATTAAGATGTTCCTTAGGGAATTTCATTAAGCTTTTATAATAGTAGTTTTGCTTTAGCATTAAACATGCTTTGTAAACAAGTCGTAAAAGATCAGCAATTAGCATAATTATATCAGATTGGTACATGGATTAATGAAATTAATGCACGTTATTGAGCTGTTAACAATTTTTTTTTTCTCTTGTGCATGCCATTCGTGAATGAACATATATAACTTCTCAATGCAGAGAGAATGCGTATGCTTTATTTCATATACTTTAAATGCGTTGATTACTCAACTGCGTGTGAGTGAATGAGAGCTTTACCTCATAAATTAATCAGATGCATGCGTGACATATTTAAATCAGCTCAAACATTTGGACACGCATGGCATAGTGTGAGGGTTGGTCCAATTGATAAGGTCCTTGCATTGTGTGTAGACCCACCAGTATTTGAGTCTCTGCTGCTAGCAATCCTCGTTGGTGCGTGATCTGTAATTTTCCACATAAATCCATACCGATGGCAGCTAGCAATTGAATGCCACCCATAAGTCCTTCCGGCTCTAGATTGTGGGTTTGCCCCAGCACTGGCGGACCTATTAAGGCGCAAGGAGGTGCATTTGCACCTCCGCTCGCCGGAAAATCTCTTGCAGCTGCAACTGAGTCTGCCTGAGGTGCAGTTCTTGTGAAGAAGATGACCACTGTGCCCTAGTTTTCTTTCTGATAATTCCAAAATGAAACGACGCCATTTTGAATTTGGGGAATGAAATCCTTTTAATGAAACGGTGTGTTTTGTGACTGAAAACAAACGATGCCGTTTCATTTTGAAACTCTTCAATCCCCATGAATTCAGGCCCAAATTGGACTTGCTGAGCTTATTTATCTTCCCAAAAGAACCGAGAACAACCTATCAAATTCCTACCTTTATTTTAAGCCACGTGCATCCTTAACTCTCTAGACTATTTCTCTAGTTTTCTCTGGCACTCTGAATATGGCTAGATTAGCTTGAATATTGTCTAATATAATATATATGTGGGGATGCTTGATAGAGCTAATACTTCTAATTAATTATTATAATGTTCTTTAATTAAATTAATTTATGATCGAAAGGCTTATGCCTCACATTACAAGACCAAAAATGCCTCTCTACCACGCTTTGCTTTTTTAAAACCTTGATTGATGCCTATTAGGTGCTTGACTAAATGCCTCAAAAAAGCTTTGTTGTTATATTTGCTGCGCTCGCTTATTATCATTTTTTGTCAAAATATATTGTTCAAAACAACATTATTTTTTCCATTAATTACGAATAACATTATTATTGTTTAAATTTAAGGGTATTTGATCATGATTCTTTTTTTCTTTGTGCTTGTAGCCTTTTAAAGATTACTCCTCTCCTACAAAATTCCTAGATCCGCCACTGGTGGTGAGGGTACACCTTGGGTTAAAATAGTGAGCAAAAATACTCCCTCCAACTGATCTAACCCACGTCTTCTCAAGTAACTATATTTATAGATCTTCAAAGAATGATAAAAAGTCTTTAATGTGCTAAGGAAAAAAGAAGGAAAGTTTTCCAATTTTTGAAATGGCATATAATAGTAGCCTAGTTGCTAAGTAGCATAGTAGCCAGGGTTCAGCTCATCTCCCATTACTGCTAATTTGGTCATGCACATGATGATGATGATGCACCTACCTAATGGTCAAATGACTCAACATTACTTGTCAATTGGTAATTACCACTTGTACAGTGAGAATGAGTTGTACTAGCAGCCAATTTGCCAAGAGGTAAAAAAAGGAAGAGAAAAAGAAAAAAGAGAAAGGGGGAGAAACAGAAAAGAAACTGAGAAAAGGAAGAGTTAGTTTAACAAGAAGAAGAAGAAAGAAAGGAGGAAGAATCAAGAACCTTTGGAAGAATGAGTTGGCCTCAATAGGCAAAAGGGAAAATAGACCTTAAATTCCCGTAATGCTCATTTGAATTTTTCATTGCCGTATAATAGGTGGGTTTGTAGAAAAGGCAACAAGAAGAAGAAGAAGCAGTGAAATAAGAAGAAGATTAGCGAGAGAGGCGGAGGGTGGGGCAGGGGAGGGGGTAGGGGGTAGGAGTCTATAATGCTTTGTGAATCATTGCGTGATCGAATACAGCCATGGCTTCGTGATTACGACAGGCTTCAATCATTGGCCGTCATCCTCCTCTACATTCAGGTACGTTTCGTGTCTTTCAAATTCATCGAAACCAGAAAAACAAGGGTTTCAATCAATATCAATCACTGATTGTTCAATATGCATAGGTTGGGTGCGCATTGGTGGGATCGCTGGGAGCACTGTACAACGGCGTGTTGCTGATAAATCTGGCGATTGCATTGTTCGCTCTGGTAGCAATCGAGAGCAGCAGTCAGAGCCTCGGACGTACATATGCCGTCCTTCTCGTCTGCACCGTCTTCCTCGATGTCTTTTGGTTCATTCTCTTTTCCCACGAAATATGGTAAATCTTGTTTCCTTCCTTCCAATTTATATTTCAAAACCATGTATATATATCACATTCATTTCCCTTCTCTGTATGAGTCTTTATCTTTAATATCATAGCAAGTATGTTTCCTTTTTGGTGAAGTATGTAATGTGTATGTTTGATTCTTCTTGTATGTGAACTTGTTGTGCAGGAACCTTTCTCCTGGGAGTAATACAATTTGGTACATCTTCTCAGTGAAACTCACTCTCGCCATGCAAATTGTCGGCTTTTCTGTGAGGTTATCCTCCTCGTTCTTGTGGATTCAGATATACAGGTTGGGCCTTTCCTATGTAGACACTAGTGCACTTCCTAGAGAAGCCGATTTCGATTTGAGAAATAGTTTCTTGAGTCCAACTACTCCTGTTGTACCTCGACAAACTTCAGATTCTAGTGATGCTTTAGGAGGCTCTATTTATGATCCAGCTTATTACTCATCACTCTTTGAAGATGGTCAGGTTTGTCTTCTCTCTCTATCTATCTTTCTACCCATTTATCTATCACTCGCATTGCATCCTCTTACATTACATACCTACTCAACCCTTCATTTCTCTTTGCTTTTCTCTTGTATATGGACTTAGACTATGTCATCGCCTCATTTTCTTTGTTTGCCTATTACCCTCAAGTTTATCCAATAATATGTTAACAAACTTACCCCGGAGCATCTTGTTTTTCGACTTTTGTAATTTTTTTTTGTAAAGCAACAAAGTTGTATACCTTCGCCCTGTATATTTGTTTAGAATCTCATACAATCCATGATTCCTTAAAGTTGACTCATTCAAAGAAAGACGTTAATGAAATATGTCATCACCTCTTTCTGTTTACACATTGCTCTAAAACTTCATTTTAATTTACTTTGGATTCTTGGAAACTTGGGTTAGAAGTCAATGCCGCTGCAGATCTAACCGAAGTTTTCCACTGCCAATATTCATTTGGTTTTTTTAATCTATTCTAAATGTTACTGTCTATAGATAGAAAAAGTTAAGAGTCTACAATTCTTTCGGTCTTTTATACAAGAAACAAGAAGATAGAGTCTACAATATTAAAACCCTAAACCCGAAATTTATAAAATTTTATACAAGCAACAAGAAGATAGATATTGGCATACAGTTACTCTCTATTTTTCCGTTGGTAAAAAGTGCAATTTTAAAACCCGAAATTTTGGTTGTCATAATATCAGTAAAGGAGAGACACGAGGGAGAAAGAGCATAATGAAGGAATGTTTGTGGTTGTCAAAATTCACCGCAGACAAGATTCTGTGAATATATCCCTACAAGACAACAAGAAAGTATCTATTGAAGATTAGGGGTCTCACCTGCATGATGCCTTCCACAGACAACAAGAAAATATATAGATTTGAAAATGTTTGAGGGAGAAAGGTAGCAGGAACATGTAGAATTCTAGGGATGCAATGTATGCACCATTCCTTATGAGACCATCAAAGTCCTCTTTGAGGCAAGAATCTTTATAAAGGACAGGAGGGTTGGATACCATGAACAACGACGCTATTCTCAATTCTTTGTATCCAACTTGGTTAAGGAATGTAATTCTAATTAGGCTTCCTTGAAAAGGGACGTGATATGTCTGTTCTGGACAGATGTCCACTCTGGGCAAGTTTCCTGCTCTGATAACATTTGCATTCTAGGAGTGGTCAACCATGTTCTTTGGACTTGAAAAGGCCCTTTACATCAGAGGAATCCTGTAGGATTTACTTGGACTCGGATCATCTTTGGATGGTAGGCCAGGCAACAGTAGAGAACATTGATGTTCTTGCGATTCTAGCCCCAAAGTTCTTGCTAAAATTGGTTTCGATCATTGAGTCATTATGGCATCCATTAGATGGGGGCCTTTGTGGATATGTTTTGTGGCGATTAGGAGAGGGGATCTATGCAGTTTGTTACACTCATCCACTTTGATCTGACTTCATCGATGATGTTGAGCAATCACCTAGATGCAGACTTGAGAATATTGAAGTCTCCAAGGAATCAAAGGCCCGAGCTCTGCAAATACTTTTCCTTCCTTTTCTGGCCAATGAATGAACCATGTGATCAACAAAAGTGTTTGTTGTAGAGATATATTGGTTAGCACATGTAAGGAATTTTCATTGGGACAGTTTCTACTTGTGCTTTTTCCTTTTGGGAAAAGGATACATAGAAAGGTCATTAGAAAAGTGTAAAGGATTTCATTTTCTAAAAAGTTCATTGGGGGTCAACACTCAAGGGGATGAGTATGCTAAGGGCCTTAGGTTGAAGTGTTTATGAAGTCGTGATAATAAAAACAAATAAAAAGAAAAATAAAAGTGATGTGTTCGTATTGCATCGTGTTCTGGTTCTCTGCATGATGGTTTTAACAGTATTCCACCAGGGGAAAAAACTGAACTGGAATATATGGTGTACTATGTGCAACATCTAATTTGCAGATTTACATTTTGCTATGATTTGAACCACTGAGATATGTGTTGGCGTTTGAAGTTTGGAAACGTCTGATATCTTTTGTTTCTTCAGATTTTTGTAATATTGTTCGTGTATTAGAAGGTAGGAATGACTGTTTCTCAACTGTTACCAAATTGAAACCACTGTTATTTGTTTTTAGGGAAAATGTTACAGTGGCAATGGATCTACATCTGCTGCTGAAGCTTCTAAGGTGAAACCATCTGTAGTCAGATCTTTTCAGTTTGTAGATGTAAGTATCCATGAAATATGTTTTTGATCATTTTTATGAAATTTAGCAACATAATGTGTCTGATGATGCAGGTTGTGATCCCCATTATTCTCTCATGGGGTTAATATATTGGATTCAGTAGATAGCATTGTTTCTTCCTCACCCTTCTGTTATCTCCCAGCAACGCCAACTGACCAAATATTTCATTCACATGCTTATCTACATCAAGTTTTTGGTTGGGTGGCACTTTGAGGCCATTTTCTTGGATTTGAACTGACATGGAGTTCTCAGTTGGACTTTGGATAATACATTCGTGCACTTCTCTTCCCATAATTTGATGGAATGATGATTTGTGGTTGTTATCTAACCATATTTGTACTCTGATTATGTGCAAGCATTAGAAATGTTGTGTAAAATGATTTTAGCCGTCCAGCTTGGAATGGCCCCCTTATCAGTAGTTCTTCTCTTGTGCTGCTTTCTTATTACATCCAAAATGTGATTGACTCGTGCATTTTTTTTCAGCCACTACGGTTTGCTACCTATGCCATTTAAGTATTAGTCATTGACAGGGAAGATTGTCATCAGATAGTTCTATGCATTTCGGAACAATATATTAGAATGTTCATTTAGGGATTGGGACTTTTTCCTGCTTGAGTTTTATACAAGTTTTTCTTATATAGATCTCTGATAATTATTATTTCATCCATTTGAAATGTCATTTTTGCTGCTTCTAACTAGATTTTAGTCCTTGCAGGAGGAGAAGGCAGCAGACCAGCCTAATTCCGTTTAATTTTGGGTGTGCCATCTCTCTTTTCTTTTGGGAACCACTACCCTAGTTGTTTAGAGGATATTTCATATGAGGTAGTCACTGCAGGCAGATTGTGTTTTTGGAGTGAGCCTTGTACAGTCGGATCACATATTATTGGATTTTTTTTGCCCGGATGGAAGCTGCCTATCAAAGTATTAAAAAGAGAACCACATGGATGGTCCCTGTGGTTTGGTATGCCAAAAGCTTGGATCAAGATCCAGGACCAGTGGTCCATGTGGATGAACTACTCGCATTAGCATGCTGGCTGCACTGTGCAGCACACAATCAGACATGCAATTGCCTCTTGTACTCGAATTGTGCGGGCTGGGTGTTAGTTAAGTTGACAATAGCATTGTCGTTAAGGAACCGAGGCAATTGCCTCTCGTTTGTTCCCCCTTAATAGCATAGCATTGCTTGACCCTTTCGATGGAGCGTTGTCTTTTATGGGATTAGACGCTCCTTACTATGATATTTTCTGATAAAATATACCTTGCAGATGAAGACACTCCCTTACTATGTTATTGTTAACTATTTAATTGCAAGATTTTGTTTTCTTAAGTAGGTGTATGGTAGATATACGACTCTTTATTTTTGGATAATCGTATGCCTCAACTTATAATTCTTCTCCCGTTCACCATGAGAACCATGAGAAACATGCAGACTGAAGAGTAGGTAAAGGCCGTCTGATCAGTTTTTTTTATTTTAATTTTTTATAAACGACCATGTAATTTGAGTTTGTGTTGTGAGTCTAGCGATAGGAATAGGATTGAATGATAGGATGAGTTTTTGGTGGACTTGTTAGTTGTTGCTAAGAAAAAAGCTGATGTTCAATGTCTCACACACATTACCAAGGTTCTATACGGATTCAAACTTGAAACCACTGGCCTGCAAGTCAATGCTATTTTTCACTGGACTAGAGGAACGAAATAGACTAAACATGAACAAGAGGGATCTACCAAAGAAGAGGATTCGTCCCCTTTTCTATTTTTTTGGAAGAAAAGGAGGATCCGTACAGAAACGATGAAAGGAAAGAGATCCAACTGAATGAAAAGGAAAAAAACAAATCATCAAGGGAGCAATCGAGGTGCAGCGGCACAGACAGCAGCGAGCAGGACATTGATCAACGGAGAAAGAGACCACCTTAGAATCCCTTCGCTATTTGCTATGCTACATTAAATCATCTTTGATATTAATTAAACCCATCAACAACTTGAGGATTTTTTTTTTCTTAACCATAGGAGATGCGGATTCAAATTTGTTATGTATTTTAACATTGTAAACAGAAATACATAAACCCGAGGTACAGAAATATTAGAATAAAATGGTACACCCTTGGGTTAATAAAACTGGTGAAGTGTAACTAGGCTTTCAATTGAAACGTCAATGGGGCCATGAGCTGTAAGCTTTAATTGTTTATGAAATGACGTGTCGGCCATATGAATGATTGTCAATGTCAACCTTCCCTCTATTTTTTAAAGCATTAATCTTTGGATACCAATATTTGTTATGCACAGTTCATGAATAGAGCTAATAAGGTCTAACTCAGTGAAATAGGACTTGTTTTGTAGACTAGAGATCGCAGGTTCGAATCCCTAACCCTCCATTTGGATGAAGGAATTGAAAATTACATAACATTTTAAAATAACGGAATTTAGATTTCCATCATTTCAATTTCTAGCAATTGAAGATTTCTGTGTTTATATTTATATATATCAAATTTTGTAAATGACAATGTGGAAATTGTGAAATGACGCCTACTTTGGTGGAAATTAAACTAGGGAATTTGATGCCCCAATTTTCACAACTTTTTCCGCACGTCATTTAATAAATTCCGCGCTTAAGTTGCCAAATAAGAGAATTGTCAATTTCTCCTCTTAAATTCCTGCCTTTTAACTAAATTTCGAGTTATTTTCCCTCATCCAAACGGAGAGTTAAGGCATCATAGTTGTGTGTGTGAGAGAAATCCCAATTTAAACTATCGTTTGTACTCAAAAGAAAAAAAAAGTTTCATAAATAGAATATTATCACATCAGTTGGTGTTCAAAGATTAATGTCTTTGCTATTACTCCTAAAAGGTAGGTATTATGTAATTACATGTGAAACCTTAGAAACTTCATACAACTTTTTTTTTGTCGAAGAAACTTCATACAACACAACTTGATTTCTAAGTATACCCGTATTACCACAACAACAAAAAAAGAGTATACTCGTATTAACAAAATTACTTCTTATAGTTAATGCATATATTTACTTATCTATCTCTCTTGTTAAATGTGATAAAGATGCAAAGGAAAAGGGTATTGATTTGTTTACCGGTGATCTCATGTTTGAACCTTCATGACACCTTTGTAGTTCGTGTAAGAACCCTCCTTCCCGTGTAGTGTAGTCATATTTTTTTTTCGGATGGGTATTAATAGTTGTGAAAATGACAATTTTAACCAAAAACAATGGGGAAGTTGTTAAATAATCACAATGTTTTTGTCCAACAAAAAAATACTTGTATTTAACTTTTGTAGAAAAGAAATTAGAAATCGACTAAAATTGGATATGAAGGGTTCTTAATATAGAAAAAGAAAAAGAAAATAAGAACCGAATAGAAAGATTGGCCTGAGAGCAACCTTTGGTTTTGAAAATGAATGAATGAGAGACTGCCAGCAGCGCATAATACATAACGCGTTTAGGAAGATAAAAAAGTAAGTAAATTACACACATCCAATTCAAAGGAACAAAACAGACAAAAAAACCAAAGAAGAAGAAAATAAACGGGGGACCAGTAACTGTAATTACAAAAATAATAATAATAAAAATAAAAAGAAAATAAAAGAAAAAGAAAGAAAGTAGCAACTTGCAAAGGGAATGGGATAGAGAGAGAGAGAGAGAGAGAGAGAGAGGGGGAAGGGTGGGTCGAATCTTCTTCTTTCCCTCAGTTTTCTCTTTTGCAGCTTCAGAGCAAAACCCAGAAAAAGAAAGAAATTCACAAAAAACCGACTGCTTGCTGTTGCTTGGGTACACAGTTTACAATTCTGCTATTTCTTTCTGAATTCATATTCTTCTTCTTCATCTTCTTTTGACTTTTTGTATCTGTATGTATGCATAGATCATGGGGTTAATTAACTAATTAATTACGTTTGTTTGGTTTGCGTGTCAAATATGTACTTCTTCTTCTTGAATTCTGAATTCTGATCCTCTAATATTAATTATTAGAGCCTGGTCCCGAAATAACACCAAGACTTGAATGAGAATGAGAGCGTTGCTTCCAGATCCTTCTCTTCTTTACTTACCAATTTTACATTTGGCTTTAAATCTTTTCACCTACACCTCTTCTTTCTTCATAAAAATCCTCATTTCCTGATGCGATTTGATATCCCAAGATCTGACTTGCTGTTGCTCTTGTTCCTCTCTGGTGGTCTTCTTCTCTCCGATTTTGTTGGGTTGTGGTAAGAATCAAAATAATTCCCGGTCTTCCCTTTTTTGGTTTTTTTGTTGTTCTTGTTGTGCGTGTTCTGGGTTAGAAGAAGTTTCACCATCTTTATTTTTAAAATTATTTGTTTCTTTGGTTGATCGGAGGTGCTCTTCAAGTTCTTGTCAAATTTTGATTTTTTTGTTTTTTTCTTTTCTGGTTTGGAGTATTTATATTTTAAATGGTCTCATGGAATTTCTTTGGGTTTTGAAGAACAATATTTAAATTGTTGGATGGCTTAGATCTGGGAAGTCATGCTAAAATCTTGATCTTTTTGCTATGGTCTTGTGACAGTGACCGAAGAGAAAAGGAGAAATGGAGGAAGCAAGGTATTGGTGTCACATGTGTTCTCAAATGGTGGATCCCATCATGGAAGTAGAAATGAAATGCCCATTTTGCCAAAGCGGATTTATTGAGGAAATGAATAACAACACGAGGGACAATCAAGAAGCTGACTCTGATTTTGGATCAGATCGAGCCCTCTCCCTCTGGGCACCAATCTTGCTGGGAATGATGAACAATCCCCATCGACGCCGAAGATTAAGACGACTAGACTTTGATGAGGATGAGGATGATGATAATGATGATGGCGAGGCCCGCCATGGCGGAGACACTGAATTGGACAGGGAACTTGAATCAATCATCCGAAGGAGGAGGAGAAACTCGGCTACTATTCTACAGCTGCTTCAAGGCATTCGAGCTGGCTCGGCATCTGAGTCTGAGAATTCTGAGAGTGATAGGGATAGGTATAGGGATAGGGATAGAGAGAGAGAAAGGGAAAGGGAAAGGGAACGAGTAATTCTGATCAATCCTTTCAGTCAAACCATCATTGTTCAGGGTTCTTATGATTCGAATCAGGGCCAAAACAACAATCACTCCCCTATGGGTTCATTAGGCGATTATTTTATTGGGCCTGGTTTAGATTTATTGCTGCAACATTTGGCAGAGAATGATCCTAACAGATATGGGACTCCGCCAGCGCAAAAGGAGGCAGTGGAAGCTCTGCCGACTGTGACAATCAAGGAGAATTTGCAGTGTTCAGTGTGCTTGGATGATTTTGAGGCTGGTGTAGAAGCAAAAGAGATGCCATGTAAGCATAAATTTCATAGCGGGTGTATTCTGCCATGGCTGGAGCTTCATAGTTCCTGTCCAGTATGCAGGTTTCAGTTGCCTGCTGATGAATCCAAACGCGATTCTGATAATTCTAGGAACAGCAGTGACCAAAGGGAGAGTGAAAACATAGGTGGTGATGGTGGTGGGGAGGAGGGAGATGGGGATGGGAGAAACGGAAGCGGAAGAAGGTTTTCAATTCCATGGCCTTTCAATGGTCTGTTTTCTAACTCAGGATCTCAATCTAGTGGCAGTGGGGGTAATTCTTCCTCAGCAGCAAATGCAACTGGAAGTGGAAGCGCTTCTCGAACAGATGAGAATTGAGTATATTTTCCATTAGTTGAGTTGAGTGGCTATATCAGGTTCTTGTCCATTATGTTGCTTCAATGGTCTGCTTGTGTACATAGTATCTTACTTGAATGTGAATCTTGGAAGTTCAAATTGTGCGTTTATGTGTTTAAAAAGAGGGGTGGTCTTTTGTTTTGTAGATGTTTTGGCCTCCTACACACCTATAAGAACTTCTACTGTTGCTATATTACTTGCTCTTGCTTGAGATGATGTATTGCTTTCCTCTAGCACGCTAGCTGCTTAATTTGGAAGTTTCAGCATCCTTGGACTTTTGGCTTGTTTGAATTGACAATTGAATTGATAATATCATAAGGTAGAGCCAACTGAGATGGACTAGTCTCATTATAGACAAGACTTCGAAGGTATAGCTGCTAGTCCTCCTATTGCTCATTTCTCATTGCATGAGTTACAAACTGCAACATGACAATATTGAAATTTGACGAATTTAAAAATTTTAAAAATATATATATCTTGGGATCCTCTTATTTACTGAAGTGCCTGAAACTATGGTCAAATCTCAGTTTGCCCCCTGAAAGTTAAAATGACCCACTTTACCTTCTTGACCGATGTTTTGCGTCTCACTTTGCCCCTCATCG